AACTGATTTCCTTAAAGCATATGGAATTATTCATTAAATATGCTGAACATTAATATAATTTCTTCTGAACAGGATCAACATGAAGAGCAAAACATTACTAGTAATGTAGACAACAGAGCTAGCAGAGAGTACAGCATTAGCTATGATTTTAGGGCTTTTTTTAAAATAAAGCAGCTTAGAAATACTAGTGAGTGTGTGTGTGTGCACACACACATATAAGTATATAGTGACAAAACCATTTTTTTTGTGTGGGAAGGGGAGACTGTTTCCCCCTTTTTTTAACCAAAGCAGCAGCACACAGGGCAGCATGACATAGTTGCCTCACTACAAAGGCAGAAGTTGCCTCATTCCAAGTGGTTACCTAAAAGCTTCCCATAATTTATGCTTACTCTGCTATGATCTATGAAAGCCCGATTTCTGATTTCTCAAATACTAACAAAGAACCTCAGGCACCTCTTGCCAGCTTGCACTAATTCTCCATGAAGTGTTTTACAAAGTATATGGGGCTTTAATGTGAAGCCTGGATGTCAATGCCAGATACCATTTACATTTGCTAATTGTGATACTTTTAGACAGACAAGTTACTCTCATCTAGGGACTTAAAAGACATCCCATACTGAGACAATGAATAAAAACTACCTACTAATTGGCAAAAGCTGGTAACCACCCTCCCCCAACAAAACATTTATACATAAGATACAAAAGAGTGTCTCACAATTTAAAAAACCTTCCCAGTGTCAAGGTAGAGTATTTTTCTTATTATCACATAATGATGGCAATTATGCAAATAAGATGTGAGGCCATATAATCTTCTTCAAAGGGCTCTTTAATATCTGACTTGAAATAAAACTGCAGGCACAAACAGTAGTAAAAATTACATCTTTTAAATTACAGTTAATTTGAAAGCTCTGTGTAAGATACTTTTGACAGCTTATTTTTCATGAAGTCTATTTGCACAAATCAGAGATTTGAGTACTCTTAAAAAAAAATTAAAAAGGCAAGCAAGGATTACCAAAGCAACACTCTGGGGCAAAACATGGTAAAAACACAGTCTCCCATCCTATTTCATCTGAAACTCAAAATAGTAATTTAATGTCAATTACACATAATATGGTGTCAACCTTAATTTGGCACCAAAGTAAAATTTAACTTGGGAATCAAAATGATTTAATCAGTTAGAAACAATTACTGTTTTGTTTAATAAAAAGTAAATGAAACCAGCAAATTCTAAGGTCAAAGGAACTTCAAGGACTATATGGTTAACTTCCTTTGATAGGCTTTAAAAGCTACAGATTCATCAAGCTGGAATTAGTCCTGGTGCAAACAATTCTGCCAAAATTAGGAAAACTTGATTATCACTTGTCAGTGTCTACCTTCTGACCACTGTGCCCAGCTGCACTGTACAACTCAGAAATGCAAAACAACATAGAACTTTCAGTGATTTCATCATTTATACATGGCCTTTGAAAGCTTCACAGTAAAATTTTTAGTGAGTCTTCTACAGATGTACATGGTTCAGCCAACTGAATTTTTTAGAAATGAAAAGTACACTTTAAAAAACCCATTCCTGAAGTTCATTAAGTACAAATCTTCTATGCTGCTTTGAAGCAGTATCTATGAAACTTACAGTTCTATAATGCTGAAGGAGTTGGAGAATTTACCATCTTGAACCCAGTTAGAGAATCTAAGTGATTCTCAAAGAACGGTCCTCAGATAAGCAGCAGCACCACCTAAGTCCTCACAGAGGCAACTTCTTAAATCCTACTCTGGAGCTGGGAAAGCACACTCTCCAATACAAAGCCCCGAAGCCCATGTTTGAACTGTGTGATCCTGATGGAAACTAACTTGAAGAACTACTGATTTAGTTCATCAGGAAGGGAAGTAAAGCAGATTTTTGGGACAGAAATAGTCAAGATAGAAGTTTAAATTTCTCTGGAATATATTTTTTGAGATTTCTCTTAGAAATTTGCATATAGAAAATGGATACAAAATAAAAAACTCTAATAATAGGCATGTCTATATAACAGAATACTGGGTAGACAACATTATATATAAAGAGTACAATACAAAGTACAAAAAAATATATATTCTTTTTTGGCTTTTTTTTTTGGCAGAACCAGGGGTTGAACTTAGGCCCTTACACTTATTCTACTGAGCTATCTCCCTGGCTCACAGAAAATTATACATTCATATTGACAACTTCTCATGGAACTGAAAAATATGTAATGGTGACATTACACATAAAATTTAATAGCTATGTTTTCATTTCACTTTCACTTTCTGAATAAACTTTCACTAATAGTAAAGAAATCACATTAGGAATTATCTTATTTCATAGGCAAGAAAATTGAGACTTAATTAAGATCTTTCTTTTTAAGGTACACATAGCTAATAAGTACATGGTTTCAAATGCAAGATTTCTAAGGTCAAGAGCAAGATTTTGCCCTATATCATGTAGTATCATATTATCATCACTAATATTTACAGAATTATAAAAAGCATAATGACAATAAAAATATTCAAAGGTATTTTTATTCTAAGCTGGAAAAATCAACAGACACACATTAATTTTTTCATAAACATCTGCCCTCTGAATTTGGCAGGTACCCTGGATAATTTTTTTGGACAACAGTACAAAACTCTGCATTTCTTCATATTTCTCATTGTATATCTTGAATACAAAGATAATAACAAATGGGCTGATATAAATAAGTGCTTAGGAAATACAAAGAAAGTCAATGAAAAATAGGAATATCAGGTTATTTTTATAATACATTAACATTCTGTTCTATTATTGTCTCAATGCTTAAAGTGATCTCCAAAACAAACTATAGCTTCTGAAAATACACTACGACAGAAAGGCCTAGGAAGAAACACACTTGGTAACTGCCTGACTCAAGAGAACTAATTTAGGTAATCTTTAAAAGAATACATAAAATATATCCATTCTCACTGATTCTTAAATTTCTTCTCTCAGAAATAACTTTCGTAAGGCTTAATGACCTTCTACTTTGCTCTGTAAAGATAGTGATTATTAAAATGATTACTGAACTAAATCTAAAGTTGACTTTTTTACTATGACCCACTGTGGATACTGCAATGGAAATAATATTTAACAGAGACTCTTCACAAACTGTTTTGAGATTTTTACAATGTAGGTTAATTGCTTTTTAGAACTATATATATTCTTTTTTCAAACTTCGCAAACACAGCTGAGGATGTGAATTGGGTAAAGCATTTGCCTCACATATGTAAAGCTGTGACCTTAATTCCTATCATTGCCAAATAAACAAATACATAAATAAGAAAGCTGTACATATCAGAAAATTCATACATAGCAGCAGGGCTTACCTTCAAGTTCCTCTTAATTTTATTACAATATTCTAATAGATTTTTTTCTTAGGCATGAGGAATAAAAAAAAAAAGGATGATTCTAAATGTACATTTTAAATAAAATGAAGATATATTCATTCAACAGAATACATATTATGTTATTCTTTAGTACTAATATGGAATAACTTTCAAGATTAAGCACAAAAGGGAGCCGGGGAGATAGCTCAGTAGAATGAGCACTTGCCTGTCAAGCGCAAGGGCTTGAGTTCAATCCCTGGTTTCGTAAAAAAAAAAAAAAAAAGATTAAGCACAAGAGGGCCAGTGAGATAGCTCAGTGGACTAAATGCCTGCAGGGACCGGGGTTCAATCCCCTGCACCACATGCTGCGCCAGTGCCGCCCCAGGCATGCTGAGCCAGCCACTGAGACCAGGCATGGTGGCACACCTGTAATCTCCGTGCTGGGGAGGCTGGCTGAAAAACAGAGGATCACTACGAGTCCGAGTTGTGCAGTGAAACCCTGTACCAAATACATTAAAAATAAACAAATTAATTAAAGATTAAGCACAAGACAAAACAGGATGTAGGATAGTACATTTACCTTCTGTAAGAAGACAGCCCTTAAAATATATGTAATTGCTTGCATATATGGAAACAAACTCTAGAGTGATACCTAAGAAACTAGTAATACTGATTGTGTCCAGGAAAGGAAAATGTGTACTGAGAAGAGGGAGGCTTTTCTCTGAACATTATGTTTGCTTTCTGAATTATGTAGTATGTCCCAGTACTATCTATTCAAGAAAGAAACAAAGATCTCTGTTTGATATTCTCTACACTGTATGGTCAACTTACAGCTTTTGGAATTCATTCTTTCCTGGCATTGTATTATAAATATATAATAACTTATCTTAATATCACATCAATACTCATTTAGAAGTAGGAGTCAAAGCTGTCTGACTTCTCTGTGCTTATTTATGACATCCTGTAAAGGAACATTAAAATGAGACTGCCTCAAGATTCCAAAACTGTTAAATGAAAAGAAATCCACAGAGCAGATCTCTATAGATGTAAAAGTGCTTCCAAAAGAGACAATAAATCTAGTGTTCTTGCTAATATTTTTTCTTAAGTCTTTAATGTGTTGCATACATGTGCTAACATCCCATAATAAATGTAATCATTACATACAAAACATACTAATAAAAAATGAAAGAAAGCCTTATCTTTTCAAATTTTTTCTATGTATGTATTTGGTACAGGGTCTTGCTAGCTACCCATTTCAGACTCATAGTGATCTTCCTGTTTCAGCCTCCCCAGAGCTGGGATTACAGGTGTGTGCTACCATGCCTGGTTTCAGGCCAGCATGGCATGTAATACTGGGGATCACACTTGGGTCCTTGCACTTGCCAGGCAGGCACTTAGACTGTCGAGCTATCGCCCTAGCTTGAGCCTTCTCTTTTAGAGTTAAGGTTTTGTATAATCTTCAATATTCACATTCTAAATGACGATGTACTTCACAATGCAAATATCTGGATATACAGATATATTTTATAACATTTAACAGAATGTGTATATTTTTTCACAATGAGAAAAACAAGAATAAACTAAAACAAAATTCACATTCCTACCTTCAAAAATCTGTCATTGGTCAGTAGTGCAACTTGCCTTTCTGCAGGTTGTTTTTCCACATACCTAAAAGTGTAATATTCCATACACACACACACACACACACACACACACACACACACAGAATATTAAACACTCTGTGTAATTATATATATTGGGAAAAATAACTACCTAGATTGGTGACCACTTTTCTTTCTTTCCATTTTTTTTCTTGAAAATAAACTCAAGGTGACAGTCCTAGCTTAATGGGATTTTCAACTTCTTAAATTATCTATACTTAACAGTTTAATTGTAAACAAAGGACATATATCCCAGAAAAAGTTATTTCTAAAAATAACTGGAGAACTTTCAAATCATGTCCCTTTGTAAAAACATTTTCTTTATAGCACATTTTAAAAACCCTACCATTAAAAAAAAATGGTTTTATATTACCCAACACAAAATTAAAAAACTGTCCCATCCCAAAAACAAGTGGATCTAAAGTTTCTTATTCTGCAAATGCTCGTGTGTATTAATTATGTATTTCTTTTTTTCTTTTTTTGGTTACCTCCTAAATGACGGAAGACGTCGGATATTTTCACATTGGTTAGCTGATAAAAAATTTATTCTTCTTTTAGCTTCTGGAAGACTGCAGCACAGAACACTTAAGGGCTGGGAATAAAAATGTTCTAAAAGAGAAAGCTGAAAGAAATGTGGTATTAAATATATTTATTATATTTTGGCAGTAATTTTTGGTCCAATATTTGCTCAATTTTAAGGCTTTTTTAGAAGATCAAAAGAATTTATGGCACTAATAATATATTTAGCAATGTCACACTAGCACTGTAAGCAACACATATATACCTCTAATATTGCTAAGGCTCCAATTTTGAAAGCAAAGTAAAAATGGCAATCTCCGGAAAACGAGCTAAAGGAAACTACCATGAATGGAGAGATTAGCTACGTGCAGAAGCAACTCATAATGACTGAGTTGGTTCTTTAACAGATTAATTAAAACTGAGAAACCCTTGGCCAACCTTATCAAAAAAAGGAAAGAAAATGTTCAAAGCCACTGAGTTAGGAATGAAAAGGGTGAAATCACAATGGATCCTGCAGAAATCCAAAAGATCATCAGTACCTATTTTGAGAATCTGCACTGTAATGAGATGGAAAACTCAGAAGAAATGGACAGATACCTAGACATATATGAATTACCAAAACTGAATGAAGAAGATAATTCTCAAATATCTGATAACAGTCAACAAAATTGAGGATGTAATAATAAAAAAAGTTCCCCCCAAAAGAGCCCAGGTCCTGATGAATTCACTGCTGAATCCTGTAAGACTGTATCTAATGCCACTATTCCTCAAACTCTTTAATGAAATTGAAAGGGAAGTAATACTCTCAAACTTATTCCCGGAAGCAGTCATTACCCTGATATCAAAACCAAAGGGGTCCAACTAACAAAGAGAACTACAGACCAATCTCCTTAATGAACATAGATGGGAAAATCCTCAATAAGTTACTACAGCAAGTCATCAAAAAAATTGTATATCATCACTAAGCAGGATGCATTCCAGCAAAACAGGGCTGGTTCAATATACACAAGTCAATACTTGTAATATATGTTAACTGACCTACGGACAAAAAGTACATGATCATCTCAATAGATGCAGAAAAAACAGTTGACCAAGTTCAATACCTGTAATAAAAACCCTAAGGAAAAGTGGAACGGAAGGTCTTTTACCTCAATCTGACAAAAGCCACCTATGATAGAACAACAACCAACATCATACTAAATGGACAAAAACTGAAAGTCTTCCCTCTAAAATCACAAATAACAGAAGGATACCCACTATTACCACTCTTGTTCAATGGACTTCTGGAAACATTAGCCAGAGCAATTAGACCAAGAGAAAGAAATGAAACAATGGTAGGACAGGAATTTAAATTATCATTATTTGAAGATGACATAATATTCTATATAGAAGACACTGAAAACTCCACCAAAGGACTCCTAGAATTAACAACCAAATTGGGCAGCACAGCAGGAAACAAAGTCAGTACTCAAAAATAAATAGCATTCCTATATGTGTGTAACAAATTCACTGAGAGAAATTAGGGAAATAACACCTTTCATGACGGCATCAATAAAAATGAAATACTTAGGAATCAACCTAATGAAGAAAGTGAACCTTTACACCAAAAACAACAGTAATGTGAAAAAGAAGACTGAAGAGGGTAATGGAAAATGCAAAAATATTCCATGTTCATGGACAAACAGAACCAATACAGTGAAAATGGCCATACTTCCCAAAGTGCTAGACAGATTAATTACAATCCAAATCAAAATATGAAAGCATACCTCATAGAACTAGAGAAATAACCCTAAAAGTAATATATAAACAGAAGAGGACTATAGTAGCAAAAGCATTCTGGGCAACAAGGGCAAGGAAGGGGATATCACAGTACCTCACTGGAAATTATACTACAAAGCTACTGTGATAAAAACAGCATGATACTAGCAAAATAAAAACCAGACCTAAGGATCACTGCAATAGAGTACAAGACCCAGAAATAACTCTAAAACACATTCAGCTACCTTATCTTTCACAAAGGGACCAAACATCTTCACAGAAAGAAAGCCTCTTTAAAAAAATATCCTGAGAAAACTGGCTTTCCATATGCCAAAGATTGAATCTAAATCCCTATCTCTCACCATGCACTAAACTAAAATTGAAATGGATCAAAGATCTAAATATAATAACAGAAACAATCTGCTGGAAGACAGAATAGGCAATGCTCTTAAAGATGTAGATGTAGGCAAAGACTTCATGGAAAAAACCCTGATTGCATAGGAAAATATTACAAAGGATCAATAACTGGTATCACATCATATTAAAAAGCATTTACACAGCAAAAGAAGTCACCAACAGAGTTAAGAGATAACCCAAATGATGGAAAAAACTTTTATCAACTACTCCTCACAGGACTAATATCTAGAAAATATAAAGAAATTAAACAAACAAGGCTCAGATGCCCCCAAATTTAAAATCTCAATTCAAAAAGGGTATCTGGAATGTCAGTTCTCTAATGAAGAAGTACTAACAGCAAATAAACATGTGAAAAGGTATTCAACATTACTAGTCTTTTGAGAAATACAAATTAAAACAACACTAAGGTTCCATCACATTCCAGAAAGAATGGCTACCACAGAGAAATCAATCAACAAACACAGTGATGCTGTGGGGGAAAAAGAAACCCTTCTCCACTGTTGGTGGGAATATAAATAATCACTATGGAATCAGTATTGAGATTCCTCAAAAGACTAACACTAGAAGTTTTGTTTGCCCTACTTGTCCCCTCTGGAGTTTAAAGCATCATACCACAGTAACATTTGCATACCCATTTTTATAACAGCATTATGAAAGTTAAATCCTGAAAACAGCTCATATGTTCATCAACAGATGAATGGATAAACAAAATAAGGTACTTATATACAAGGCAGTACTACTCTGTCATAAAGATAAACTTCAGTGACTTATAGGTAAATGGATATACATGAGAACATAACTTTTAAGTAAAAAATTTCCCCCATAATTTTAAGGCATCATTTTATGAAATAAATGTCACATCATTTTTCTTGTGTGAGACACCCAAAGAGTAAGTAAGGACCAAAATGGAGAACAGATACTGGAAACTAGAAGAACATGTTCAAGTCAAAGTGAAAGAAGTGAAGTGGGAGGAGAAAGGAAGAAAGGGACAAGGGAAAAAAGAAATGGAAGAACAAATATGAAAACCAAGCTCTTTTAAATGTGAAGAAGGGCTGATGGGAGGGAAGGGCAATGGGAAAAAAGAATTAACATATATTATGTATAGATCTAAATTCCCTATGATGAATGGGATCATTATGTATGGCAAATATACACTAGTTAAAAAAGAGACCACTAGGGCTGGCCAGATAGCTCAGCGGATTGAAGCTTAGGCAGACACAGGGGCCGGGTCTGATCCCCCATGTGCCACGCTGGCCCTGCCCCCAAGGCATGCTGAGACTGTTACTGAAACTGGGTGTGGTAGTGCACACCTGTAATCCCAACACTAGGGAGGCTGAAAACAGGAGGCTCACTAGGAGTCTGAGCTGCATAGTAAGACCCTGTACCAAATATATAAAAGGGGGTAGAGAGGTTTCTAGACATTAGTGTAGGGAAGGAAGGGAATGGAAAGGGGATGAAGAAAGGAACTGAGATTTGTTACATTCCTGTACTAACTCCACACAAGGAATGTAAACATTATATACCACAAACATGAGCTAATAAAAAATATATGTACTAAGACAATGTAAACACTTAATAAAATACCTAGCACAAAACAGCTGCTTAGAAAATCATCAGGACCCCTAAAATCATCTAACTTGATCCCCATATTTCATAGAGGAGAAAACTTGACACACAGAGATTAACTCGATTACCATTCTTTACTCACTTTCTTAAGGTGCAGTATTAAAGCTACCACTTGTATTGCCTGAAAACTTTTTTCTCTTGACTTTAGTGATAGTCCACTTTCTTTGGGTTTCCTTGTTTTTAGTTCCTTTTCTACTACTGGGTCTTGTATGTGAGCTTCCTGGGTTTTATGTTACCCTTTTCTTACCCTGAGTGACATTTCATTCTCATCACAGGACTTTAACCATCATCACCTTTTAATGATAAACACTAAATATTTCTAATCCCAATCTCCATGAACATTAAACTTCTCCATATACAACACTCTTGAATCAATCACAGACACAAAACACTTAAAATCTTTCTCATAACAAAGGAGCACTCTTTGCATGGAATGTGCTTCTCATGTTGACCTGCCTAGCTCCCGTTGGGCTAGGATTACGTTCTGCAGGGGAACATACTTTTTGTCAAGTTTACTAAGACTTGTATATTGGTAACCTTTAGTTCAAAAGTGTAATAGGATTAATACTCATCTCTGTATAGTGGATAATAGCCAGCACAGCATGTGGTACTGGTGATCAAACCCAGGTCTTTGCACATGGCAGGCAGACGCTTAGACCACTGAGCTATCTCCCCAGCCCATAATTTATAATCTTAAAGGCACTATACAGTGCTCTTCCATAGCACTGACTACTCAGAACTGTAATCTGTACTGTGCACTTATTCTTCTGTCTCTTTCACTAAATAATGAACAATTCAAATTGGGGATTTGTTTTGCTTCTGTTCATCTGTGGTTCAGGACAGTACTTGGATCACTGCAAACTCTTGACTAATACTCATAACTAGATAAATGAATGGAATGAATAAGAGAAGAAACGTAGTAGATTATTGTATCTTGGCACTATTTAATATATTTTTAAAGTCTTGATTTGAAATATTTTTTAAAGTCAATGTTGAAAAACGGAACACACATTACCTACTAAAAACATTAAAGTGTTTATATGGAGGAAAAATACCTAAAAGAAATAATTTACAATCTTTTTTTTAAAAAAATCTTTTATTTATTTGGTACAGGGTCTTGCTATACAGCTTGCATTTGTAGTGACCCTCCTGTCTCACCCTCCCCAGCACTGGGATGCAGGTGTGCGCCACCATGCCCAGTTTCAGTGGCTGGCCAGCACAGCATGTGGTACTGGTGATCAAAGCTGGGTCTTCACGCATGGCAGGCAGACACTTAGACCACTGAGCTATCTCCCCAGCCCATAATTTATAATCTTAAAAGTACTATACAAAGATGAGTATTATCCTATTACACTTTTGAACTAAAGGTTACCAATATACAGGTCTTAGTAAATGCCACAAAAAGTATGTGTTCACAATGACTAAACTTTGCTAAGATAATTTAAGTTGTTGACCAAAAAAAGAGGCAATAGTATTAACTTATAAACATCCAGATGATGAGGAGGAGGTCTTTTCTGTTACAACAAATGTTTGAAATTAAAGAATTAGCTTTGATAATTCATGAAACTATAATGAAAATAATTCCTGAAATCAGAATAATGTAAACACACAATACACATAAAAAAAATATAGGGCTGGTGAGATGGCTCAGTGGTCTAAAGCACCTACTTAGAACAAGCTTAACAAAGCACAGGGACCGCGGTTCAATCCCCCAGCACCACATGCCAGCCAGCCCCGCCCCCTGGTGGGCTGAGCTGGCCACACACACACATAAATA